GACCACAGCCTTCTTATTCATTATTTTATCGCAGCTTCGCTCTTTATCTATTTTCTCGCAGCCTCGTGAGCAAGATGCAGCCTGCAGGTTAATGATGATATAACTCAGATGAGACGCCTCTCACTGTACAGCTGTTGTGGTTGAGTGTTTAGCACGTTAGGTTACGACGCCACTGAACCGGGTTTGATCCTTGTCTAAGTAATTTTTTTTTTTTCATTTTTATTGTTAAGACATATAATACTGTTAGTTGTTGAATATTTAAAGTTCTAAAGCAGCTGTTTTCTCAAAAAAAGATGTGATTAGTGTCATTAGAAACTGAATTGGAAATGACCTTATTTTAATATAGTCACTCGTGAACTGAGGTGGGCCGGTCTGAGGCTTGAAACTCCAGGGCTGAAAAGGAGTCCCACTCCGGCCCTGAGCTCAATCTCCCCTCGCCCCACAAAGGGAGGGAGCTCTGGACTCGAAGATCCCTTGAGCTCAGGGCTCTCTCCCAGAACAGCATGCCAAATAAGTCATGAGCTAAGTGTGAAGTCTTGAATGAGCATTTTGGTTTCAAGATCCGATCCTGAACTGTTCAACACATTTCTAAACATAATAGGTTTAATAACTCATCTCTAATAAATGATTTATTGTATCTTTGCCATGACAGTAAATAATATTAGACTAGATCTTCTTCAAGATTTTCAGCTTAAAGTGACATTTAAAGGGTTAATTAGGGTAAAGTTAGGGTAATTAGGCAAGTCGTATAAGGATGGTTTGTACTGTAGACAATCCAAAACAAATATTGTTTAAGAGTGGTAATAATATTGACCTTAAAATGGCTTTATAACAATTAAAAGCTGCTTTTATTCTAGCCGAAAAAAAACCAAATAAGACTTTCTCCAGAAGAAAAAATATTATCAGACATACCGTGAAAATGTCCTGAATCTGTTAAACATCATTTAGGAAACATTTGAAAATAATAATAATAATAATAATTCTGCATTCAACTGTATGACAAGATTAATTTTTGTACTATTGTTACACTTGAAAGCCTTTTATAAATCAGTCTCCTGCATGTCGTTTATTTATTTGTTCTCAGCGTTTCCTTTGCTCTCTGTTTTTCCTGCTGACCTTCTGCAGGAATGTGTGTAAATGGTGGGATTGGGCGCAGGATTTGAGATCTGGGGGTGAATATGATATACTGCGGGGCAGATAGTGAACATTCCGGGCCTCGGCGCACAAAAAGACATTTCTGCAGTCTGTGGTCTAAACGCTGCTTCCTGCGAATCTGTCACTGCGAGCGTCCTGAACTTCTGGAGCCGATGACACTGCTGGGGCCCGAGGGGGAAACCACGGCTAGTCCTGCTTAAACCACCATTATAACAACTGTGAGAACTACACTCACCTTCAGATCAACACTAGCTTCACACTGTACAAAATATCCATAAATTAGCAGTTTTCTATATTTTGATAAATGTTTTTATTTTTTATTTATGCTTTTGAGTTGCCTTGATCTTTCATCCAACAACTTGGTGTTGTATATTACGTTACAGAAACTCTCTATATATATAACCTTCTCTCTCTATATATATAATTATATAGATATATATATATATATATATATATATATATATATATATATATATATATATATATATAT